CTGGCGCCCCGCCCCCCGTCCGCCGCCCGCGCCCGCGCCGCTGTCCGCCGCCCGCGGGCGCCTTCCCCGCTCACTTGCCTCTGGTGCCCGGCCCTGCGGCCGCTCTCCTGCCGCCGTCCTCCCCTCCGTCCCGTCCCGTCCAGCCCGGCTCCCGCAGGCCCCCCACCGCTGCCCGCCGTCCGCGTTCCTATGGACAGAAGCACAGACACCTGCAGGTGGGTGAGAGCCCGCGCGCGGGGCGGGGACGAGCGCGCCGACGCGGCGACCCGGGCGCGGAGCCCCTTTGTGTGGGGGCGGCTGCGCCGTGACCCGGCTGAACCCTCCTTTTGTCTCCGCTGAGGGGAGCGAGGCCGGAGTGAGGGCAGAAACGCGCGCGGCCGGACGTTGGCGGCGACGGGCTGCGGGGTCTGGGGCGGAGACCTGGCGGGCGGGCTCGCGGGCGGCGGCGTTGTTTCCTCGGCCGGCTGGCCGTCCTGCCTCTCCCGCTGGCGCGCCGCGGGGTCTGGCTCGCCTACTCCGGCTCTCGGCTCTTTTGGAAGTGGGAAGGAAGAAGATCTGCCCTTCTAGTTTCCAAGTCTGAGGTGGTTCTGGAGAAAGAGATGTTCAGGGCTTTGGCTGACTTGTTTCCCCGCTCGGGAGGCACCCCGAGGTGCGTGTAGGGCGTGTGTGAAGGAACGTGCATCGCTGCGCTCCCTTATTTATTGTTTCTAACGGAGGAGGGCTTTCTCCGGGAGCCTCCGGCGTCCCCCACCCCCATCTGAGGCTGCGCACAGTGATTTGTATTTGTTATCAAATACATCAAGAAACGGAGTCCCCTGGGTAGAAGGCAGTGGGCTAACCAACATCAAATCAAAATCAAAGGATGTTTTTGATTGCTTTTTTTAAGGCTAGGTAGGAACTTTAAGGAGGGAAAATAAACATAGCAGTGATTCTTGCATGTACTGTATTTTTTTCGTTTTCCTTTTTGAAGTTTTGGAGTAAAGTTTTTTTCCCCCCTCACATGTTAGGATCAGCATGACAGAATATTCTACCTATAAAATGAAGTTAAGCGAGTCAGGTAATGACAGCTTCCGTGGTGGGGTTTACATTGGAGTGCAGTAAACAATGATGTAGCTTTCTGTTCAGGCTAAAACCTTTATTTTACCTATTTAAGGTATGAGGTCTTTGACAACAAATGAGGCGAACCTGAATGTTAGAACTGATCCCCCCCGCCCCCCATGATTATGCTTACCTTATTTTACTCAATGTATTTATGTATTCTGTGCCTTTAACCCAAGGATTGGGTTGGATACAGTGTTTTGAAAAGTATTGTAGGTCGATATTTCTGATTAGCTGCCTATATTGCTTTATGAATAGTTGATATGTATTTGTAGATATTCATATAATGAAGTTCAATAAGCATCCGGAAAATTCAAAATTTTTATTGTAGATATTTGAGTTGTATCTTTGTATTAATCTTAATCTGCAGCTCAGTTGTAGAAATTTTCTCCCTTCTCTCTCTCTGCCTACTGTGTGAGAAACAATGTTGAGAAACAAATGTGACAGTTATCAAGGAATTAAAAGATTTTGCGGAACGCAAAGACAATTATAGGTACAGCCATTTGGCGAAATTTCTTTTTTAGCAGAGTCTAAACTTGAAGAAAAAATATTATGGTCGAAAAATATTTGTTACTCAAATTTCCATCAAGATGTAGAAATTTACCAGAGAAAAACAATTTAATGCATTTTTATTGGCAAACTAATTTTTGTCATTATAAAATGCTCAATTTTTTTTTTTTTTTTTTTGGTACCGGGGATCGAACTCGGGTAAATGCTCAATTTTTAAAAAAATAGTAATCTTTTTCTTTTTTAAATAGTGATCTTTTTCTAGGAGAAAAATTTATCCTAGATTCTTGCCCCAGTTACATTAGATTAGTATTATTGCATGCCTAATTATATTTTTTTTGGATTGTACTTCTATGTACACTTAAAATCTAGAATAGTATTCATCTAACAGTGATCCAGCAAACTCTATTGATTTGATTGAATTTTATTAGCTCCTGGTGTGACTTCCCGTCTAGATTAGGTAAATGAAGTTAAACTCGCACAGAGGCACAGAGCTCTGTGTGTGGCTCTAGTAGGCTCTGGACTAATGTTCCCCTCCACGTTCTATTGTGAATAGTGCAAAAAGGAGAGGTATTGAAATCAGGGCTGGGTATATCATGAATGGTGGAAGGGAGTTCTAGAACACTCTCAGAATTCCAGTTCTTTATCAGCTGGTTTAAATTTTAAAAAAATAAGCTAACAGTTGAACTGCCTGTTTATGTATTTGCGTGGCTGTCAGTGGTAGTGATAAGGTTTAACAAAGAGTCACTGTGTAAAATAAACATTAATTGTTTTGGCAGAGTTGTAGTTGTGCCTAACAGCTTGCTTGGATCAGCACTGTAGTGTCTTTGTGGATTGGCTAGAAAATAATACCTAGGTTTTTGTTTTTTGACTGATAGTAATTTTTTGTTTTTTGTATAATTAACAATATTATTTTAATATAAGCACAGACATTTCAGAGACTGTTACATATTTTCAACTTACTCCTTTTTTTGGTAAGTTGGTGTTGAGGAAAGCGTGTAAGTTTTTGTTATTTATGGTTGAAATTTTTTTCTGCTGCTTTTTACATTGTGAGAAATAAATACTACCAGAAAATTTGAATTTCTAAAAAATTGGATTTTAAAATGCGGCTGGCATTTGCTGGGTTTTTTTTTAAATTAAAGGGGCCCAGGGATTTAGCTCAGTGGTTCCATCACCTACTTTGCAAGCGCAAGGTCCCGAGTTCGATCCCCAGTACCAAAAAACCAAAACAAAACAAATTAAATTAAAAAAAGAAAAACAAGAGCACTAAGCTAGCCACAGATTTGATAGGCTTTAAAAACCTATAGACTTTCCCAGCATTTTCCTATTTGTTAATTATCAATGTAATATTAAAGGAAACTTAAAATGGCCACTTTATGTTAACTGGAACCCTCAAATAAGTAGTTAATAATCAAATGGAAAGTTGGAAAGTAACAATTTTAGTTTTTATAATACATTTGTGACTCTAAAGTCCTATTTCACACAGGTTTTTGTAGCCTGATGAGGAAGCAGGCTTGAGTGTGAGAAATGGGGACAGTAACCTCTCAATCCAGCCTTTATCATCTGGTATTGTTTAAGACCAGCGCAAGCCCATACTGCTTGCTGAAAATGCAGAATTCATTCTTGGATTAATATTCTGGTGCCAGATGTATGAGGCTGGCTCCAACTAAGCTTTTTCTCTTAAATACTGTCAAAAATAGAGAAGCTGAAGATTGGAGAGAAGCCATTTATTTTGAACAGTTTTATTTTATGACAGTTTGTGTTTGTAAAGAAACCTGCTCACAATATTTACTTAAGAGATCTACCAAAGAAGCCCCACAGGTTTCTTTTTTTTCCCCCTTTAAAAAAGTTTCCATAGAGCTTAACTCTTATGTGATACTTCTTGACTTTGGTTCTGATTAGTTGATTTATAGACTTTATTTACCAGCATGATTGGAGAATGCTTTTGCTAGACTGAAATTGCACTCTGCCTGTGCTCTGGTCCGTTTCCTAGGTAACAAATGCACTGCATAGATTCCATAATGAGAACTGTGGTTGGCTAGTTACTGTGTAAATTCTGTTGTTTGGTAAAGCTTAGTCTCAAATTTAAATAAAGGTCAAAAAAGCAAAAGTACTGAAAATGCAAATTCTGGGATTTTATTTTGTATTCAATGCCAACAAAGTTTAGTAGGCTTTTCTGGAGAAAGGCAAATTGTGCAGCAGTGTTCAAGTTTGTTTTGCAGTCTTAAACATTTGGAGAGCTTTTTTGCTGTTTTAGAGTGGTGATGCTAATGGCTCTAGTGACAGGATATATTTCAGAAATATGTTATCATACTTGCAAGTAATGTAAAAAGCAAAAGGATGTGGTATTGGAACATCAGTAATATTTTTATACTGAAAGGGAAGTAGCATCACAAAAGAAAAATTACACAACTTATCTTGAAAAGTAACTTTAAAAACTTTAAGAAGAAGACCGGGGATTTAGCTCAGTGGTTCCACCACCTGCCTCACAAGTGCAAGGTCCTGAATTTGATCCCCGGTACCAAAAAAAAAAAAAAGAGCAGAAAAACTTTAAGAAGACATAAAAATATTTAAGTAACTTTTAAAAACATTAAAAATTTCACCCTAAACAATGCATTTTCACTCTTAACTTTTCTCCTTTTGATCTGCCTGAACTTTGGCTATCTCAGGACCATGGAACAAGTAAGAGAATAGCTTTCCTTTATATATTACTCTCTCTCCTCTTGGTATCTATGGCCTCTGTTGCTCTAGATGCAGGACAAAAAGTAATATGTGTGAAATTGCTAGTAATTATTACTATTTTTTAAAAAGGAAGCCTACACAAAACCAGAATTTCAGTAAAGCCCAATCAAATAGCTTCATTTGGTGCCCAAAAATATTTTTGTTAATCAGCAAGGATTCTGTTGGCTCAAACATTAAAAGAAAACATACACAACGTTTTAATTCCAGAGTATCCTTGACCAGATTAGGTTTTTAAAAGTTTTGTTGATTATTTTTGAGACAGTTTTACTATATAGTTCAGGCTGACCTCAGACTTGCATCCCTGCTACCCCAGCTGCCCAAGGGCTGGGATTACAGGTGTGTGCCACCATCCCTGGCTTCAGAGGGAGCATGCTTGCTTACTTTATTCATTCATTCATTTACCAGTACTGGGAATTGAACCCAGGGCCTTTACATTGAGCTACATCTCTAGCTCATTTTTATTTTTTATCTTGAGATAGGGTTTCTCTATGTCACTAAATTGCCCAGGCTGGGTTTGGATTTACAATCCTCCTGCTTCACCTACCAGGGTGCTGGAATACAGGTGTGCACCACCACACCAGGCTCCGAGGGAGCTTTTTAGCATGGAATTTGGATCCCATCATTGCCCTGTTCAAAACACTCTAGGCTGTATGCCCACTCAGGAAAGTCTAAGCTCTTTCTGGGGTCTGCAGAGTGCTGCATGGTCTGACTTTTCTACCCCATTACTCCTTTTCCCTGTCTCCCAGGGTCCTTGATTCTACAACCCCTTTACTCCCACTTCAAACTCTCCTGTACGTAAATGAACAAGATTAGGCAGGGTAGAAATACAGCAGGGTCAAGCAGGCAGTACAAGATTGAGGATGGGTAGTAGGGATACATGGACCACTCTGGCGTGTGTGTTGACCAGGAAGTTATTTGTTTACCTCTTACTCTTGGTTTTCCTCAAAGCTGACATTACTGTAACCTTTTCTAACCTTTTCTAATTGCAAATGTTGCGTCCTTTCATTTTCTAAATAAGTATTTTCCCTTGAAAATATGATTTTTTAGGGTTTTTGTTTGTTTTTGAGATGAGGGTCTCGTTATGTGGTTCAGGCTTGCCTCAAACTTATGATGAACCTTGTGCCTCACCTTCCTGAGTGCTGGCATTACAGGCATGCGCCAACATGCCTGGCCTGATTTTTAGGTTTTATCATTGCATTATTTAAGGCATAATCATCACCTTTCAAAAACCCTTTTATGTTAAGGGACTTAATATTTCTAGGGCAGAGTTAACAATAAACAGCATTTGTGAGTTCTTTATCT